ATACTTATCATTTCGAATAACACATAGTTCAATTACTCATAGAACATTTTCATATGAGTCACATTTACATGTCACATAGCTTATATACTTTCTCGCGTAGTTACCTAGATCCATGTCATATAACATATATCCCAAAGTGCATATAATCACGTATATCATATCATATAGCTTAGATCATTTCTCATATATTCATATAAACATACATATCATATCTTGTTCACATATGATCATATATGCTTCATATAACACATAGAAACACCTAGAACACTTTCTCATAGCTTATATCAATTTTCAGAGTCCTTTCATATTACCTGATGACATATCATATTATCTACCTTATGCTCCATTTCTTTGTATTCCCTTTTTCATATCATCATACATTTAAATATTCTTATATGTCCTATCAATATCCTATAAACTTACTCATATTCTCATATATCATATTTTAATATAATTTGTATAGTAATACTCTATAATTGTATCATATAATGATTTTACCCAAGTACTCCTTTATAAAGTTTATATTACATGTTCAATTAGTCTCATGCTATCTTATAAATAATTTCCACTTATTTTATATCATTTTCCTTTTCCACTCACATAAACCATCTATTTATTTAGTTCAATTCCTCATGACTTCCACAATACTCTTTAATAAAACTTTGTAGCTCTTCACTATAATACATAAACCATAGTTTCCTTTAATTTATCAATCTTCCCTATATAACTTATGTATCCTTATTTATGCCCTCGAATTCATACTATTCTCTTAGAGTCTCCTAACATTTCTCGTATAATCACTTATACCATATCATATAACTTATACTTGATTATCTTATTCTCTCATGTTCATTTCATTTCTTATGACTCTATCATATAACTTATTCCATGTTCTTCCATTATTACATAATAAAGTCTTACATAAATCATATAGCATATACAATGCATGTCATTATCTTTAGTCATGCATACGTACAATCAATGTAATACAGATAATCACATATAATTATAACCACACATAATCATGTCCATGACTTCATGCATATTACTCTAGGAAATAGACTCATCGCAAGTCTTATTTCCATTAAACACTACATATCACTAGTATGCACTCACCTTAGCCTCACTAGTCAATTCCAATCTCTTATCTTTCCCTTGATCGATCTTACTTGTCAATGATTCCGGAACTCGTTTAGGCTTTGAATCTACATAATTATATATTTTGAGGCAATCATTAGATACCTACACCTTGTAGTTGGATACTAGCAACTTAAACGAACTTATTAAACCAATATTCATATTTTTCCTTTAGGGGGAATCGGTTCCCTACTAAGGGGGTATCGATTCCCTCATGACATTCTGGAAATTTTTGTTCGTTTGAAGGGGTATCGGTTCCCCTTGAATGGGTACCGATTCCCCTTGCCCAGAAATCATATTTTTAGCTCGAAAATCACTTCATTTTCAGCTCAACACTTCATATATCATCCCCTTTTTCATTCTTAACTCTAGTACACATACTTAAACCAATCTATATTCATTTATTTCATCTTAAACCTCAAAATCCTATCTTCCATATGTAATTCAATAATCATACTCAAATTTCAACATGTTCTAAATTCCTTTATATCACTCCAAATCTCTTAATTTAACTATTGACAAGTCAAATTTAACTTCAAATTCTACTTATCAATTCTTTTCCAAAATTTCATATAAAAACTCCAAATCTTTAATCTCCCTTAACCCCTCCATTCTTTGATTTTACCGTAACCCAAGCTTTCCTTAAGTTTATCCATCAACTAAAGATCAAAACCAAACTTAAAAATTCAAATAATAATCAACTAATAAAACTCTCACCTTTGCCTTGCTCTCCCACGTATTAGGAAGAAGAAAGGAGAAGAGAACTCTGGATGTTTCTCACATTTCCCACGTTTATATTACCTTTAAAAGAAATATAAAAATCTTTCTGGTCAAATGACCATTTAACCCTTAATTTCCTTTAATAATTACTAAATAACCTTAATCATATAATTTCCAATAATCATTAAATTATTTCATTCTTCTACGTTAATCACTAAATTCTGAAACTTTTCAATTTAGTCACTAACCCGGTATTGCGGATGTTACATCAGTGGCCACAGGGATTTACACACCACAACAACCTCTCCATTCTCTCTTTCTCCTCTGAAAACCAAAAGCTCTCCCCTTTCCCACAACCGACTTGAAACCCGAACCCTCAAAGGTAGGAACTTACCTTCGAAGGCAGAGCCAGGTTCCTCCGATGAAGCAACGATGACCAGATCTTGGTAAGTTTTGGCTCTCCCTCTTTTTGTTTTTTTCTTCTTTTATTTGTGTTGTTTTTTCCCGAAATTGATCCTTTTTCATTTCTGTTTTTTTCTTGGTTCCTTTTTTTTTCAAATCCCCTTTTGCATGATGTTTTTGTTTGATTTATCATTGCTTCTCGTTAGGAACAATGATATCTATTTGGTAGAGGGTTTGATTTCTCTGATTTGGTCGGTTAAATCTCGATTTTTTAGGATTTAGGTATTGTTTTTAGATTTATTCTCTTGATTTGATATTTTTTTACTGATTTGGGTGGTTGTTTGGTTACTGTGGATGACGACATCGATTGGGAAGAGTTCGGCGGTGGCTCACGCGACTGGGGAGACGAACAGTGGGATTCACACGCCGGTGGGGAGTTGAAGATACACGCATCGACGGACGGTTCCTCTTCATCTCATGACGATGATGACTAGATTAGGGTTTAAAAACCCTAATCTATTTAGGTATGCTAGTGGGCCTGAACTGGGTTAAATTTTGAGGTTGACTGTTGGGCTTCAGGTTGATTTAATGGGTCGGGTCTGGATCCGAATTTGGTTTGTATCTCTAGGCTCCATTTGGGCCTGTGTAATTTAGGCCTGCAAAAAATGCAATGTATTAATATTAGTAATAATAATAATAATAATGATAATAAAATAAAATAAAAAAAGACCCGGACAAAATCGGGTGTCTACAACGAGTTTCACTGAAAAGTTCTCATTAATTCATCTTGTTGGAACGATGAGTTCTTTTAAATAATTTTTATTGAAACTCATCATGTTGAAGTGACGAGTTTACCCTCCACTGTAACAATCGCCCTAAATTAGTTTTGGTGGTTGCATTCTCTATTTTTTTCACATAGATTATTTAGTTAAAAAATTTAATTATTATTATTTGATTAATCTAAGATGATTACAAGTAATTTATATTATAAAGATTTTAAATCATTTGTCAATAAAATCTTAAAAACATTTGTGGCATGGTATTTGAACATGAAACCTCTAAGGATAACAACCATCGCTTTAACCATTAAGATATTTTGGTTTGTGCAAAAAGCTTAATTATTTACCATACTGTAAGAGTTTTTTTTTTCTCTACAAATAAGGGTAAAATAACGATAAGTATCCTTGTGATTAATTGAAGAACACGATTATCACTATTTTAATGCGATCTGTGAAAAAAAAAATACTAATTCTTGTATAGTAATAATTACGATATTAATATGAGAAAATTTCAGTTACAAAAAGATGTATAAAATACTGGTAAAGGATGAACAAAAGTTTACTACAATATATGATTATAAGAAACATAGATAAAAATGTAAGTATTGAAGCTTCATATTGACTTGATTTTGTTCACGTCTTACCTTATCTCTGATTTCTTGTATCGAAGCTTACAATGTGGATACCAGTTTTCATAAGCTTTGGAGATGGTGGTTCAGCAATGACATCAGGATTGCGTTTGCTGGTTGCTTAGCCATAATTTTCTGAGACTGCGATTGTCCAACCTATCTAAAGAGTTCATTTCTTACAATGAGCAAGCATCACCAACCATTGTCATTTCTGTAAAGTTTACATCCTTATTTCGAAAAAGAAAAGAAATAAAATTGATATTCACCTTTAATTATTATTTATTTTATCTTTTTAATATCTTTCCTATTCAATTTATACTATTTATTTGTAACCAATACTTGAACCAAATCCTGCTTTGTTGCTTCACTGACAGAGCCCTCCTTTTCATTAATCCACCTTTCAATACAAGTGTCAAAGATGCCTTTTCTTTTATATTGCTTTTGCTTAAACATTAATCAAAATATAATGTCTAATTTGGTTTTATTAACACAGAGGAACAAACCCACTGTCTTGACCAACAAATAGAACCATATTCTTAATTTGGAATTAATGTTAAAATTTTCAATAAATAAAGAAAATAAATAAATGATTATGGTATATCGTGGACCTCGTGATATTGAACAAACAATGAAGTTTACCTAAAAACTATATTAGAATTCTTAAAAATATAATTATAAAATTCTTAACAATAAAGAGAAGAGGATTATTATTTTCTCAAAATAACTCGAGTTTGAACAATTATACTTATATTTATATTTAAAAACAAATATAAATATTATATTATAATGTCTAAAATATATACAAATTTAATTTTTTTAAAAGGGATTTCTTAACTTAAAACTTGTCATACTTGATCCCAAATTTTACCATTGGAGAGCAGCTCTATTCTTTAAGGAAATGCAATTTTTTAATAGTCTTTAAGAAAATGCTAGCCTCTCCTAATTGAGTGAAATTGAGAACATCTGAGGAGTTGAGGAAAATGATATAGCACCGTACTTTAAAAAAAAAGCATATATGATATATTTGTTGATTAACTCAAATATATTTTAAAGATGCTGATAAAAATCAATTTGAAATCCGGTAGTTTTTATAAATAAACTTTAATTTGAAAAAAAATGATATATTATTTGTAAATAAATTGCAAAAATCAACGATGAATAGAGAAAGAGTAGGTAAATAAACGTAAATTTCATATAATATATTTTCGTATTTTCAATACCATATTATTAGCATATTTTAAGCCTGTGAATATTAGTCCATGTTTTAAATTCTTAATTTGAATAAAACAGATTTGAGCTTCCTAGTCACAAATCAAAAGCAGCCCCTTGCATTAAAAGTTTAAAATCCCAATAGCCTTTAGCCTTCGCCTCTGAACAAAATCTTTCCAATGCCTAAATTAACATCCTTCTTCGATTTTCACCTTCTCTTACTATTCCTTGTCATTTCCGCCGCAAATGCCTCCGTAGTTACATCGCCGATAAGCCAACGATTCAAAGAAGCCCCACAATTCTACAACTCTCTAAATTGCCCCAAGATAGTTGGCGAAGGTAAAGATGGATTATTTTTATGCTCGGACGAAGCTGTTCATGTGGCAATGACCCTTGATTCAGCTTACATTCGGGGTTCAATGGCGGCTATTCTTTCAGTGCTTCAACACTCCTCTTGTCCCCAGAATATCGTCTTCCATTTCGTTGCCTCCGCCACCGCCAACGCGTTGCTCTTACGCGCCACCATCTCTTCCACCTTCCCTTACCTCAACTTCCAAGTCTACGCTTTCGACGACTCTTCTGTTTCACGTCTCATTTCGACCTCTATCCGCTCAGCACTAGACTGCCCTTTGAACTACGCTCGAAGCTACTTGGCCAATATCCTTCCTTCATGCGTCCGTCGAGTCGTCTACCTTGACTCAGACCTGGTCCTTGTCGACGATATTTCTAAACTCTCTGCAACTCAACTCGGAGACAACTCAGTCTTGGCTGCACCAGAGTATTGCAATGCAAACTTCACCTCTTACTTCACTCTAAAGTTTTGGTCAAACTCTACTTTATCCTTAACTTTTGTTAACCGTAAAGCTTGTTATTTCAACACCGGTGTCATGGTGATCGACCTCGATCGATGGAGACATGGAGATTACACGAAAAAGATTGAAGAATGGATGGAGATTCAAAAAAGAGTGAGAATATACGAGTTGGGTTCTTTGCCACCATTTTTATTAGTTTTTGCAGGGAACATAGTTCCAGTTGACCATAGATGGAATCAACATGGACTCGGAGGCGATAATTTTAGAGGTTTGTGCAGGGATTTGCATCCTGGTCCGGTTAGTCTTTTACATTGGAGTGGGAAAGGGAAGCCATGGGCGAGGCTTGATGCTAATAGGCCTTGCCCATTGGATGCTTTATGGGCACCTTATGATCTCCTGCAAACGCCATATACGTTGGATTCTTGATGGCAAAGTTAGCAAGCATTGAGATATGCTTGTTACCAGCTCTCTGGAAACTGTTTGTTTGATGAGAAAGTGACAGAAAAGCCAAGAAATTGGTGGATCGAGCTGTGTATTTGCCGGGACTACACATTAAAGATGAAGAAACTGAAAACCCAGACAAGAAATAGTATTGGGTTCATGAATTTTCATCTCCGATGTATGATATTGATAAGTGTAACAAAATACCTGCAATGCAAATCGAAGAGCTGTTTATGGTGGCTATAATTTACTTGGATACTTTTTGTTCAATAAAAACAAATCTATATTGTAATAATTACAATTCTTTTAAAATGTACTCATTTCAAATTAAAATTTATTTTGGAGTAATATTTGATCCACATCACTAAAGTCAACAAATATCATAGTAATATATCTGGGCCTAATTATTTAGGCCACTATAAAAAGATCCATTATTGTACATTGGGTCGTACTGCCCAATAGTTCATGTTCACTAAAATTTGAGTTTGTTTTCTCTCAAATTGTGTTTAATGTTATCCTAAATTTCTTGTTTGCGCACGTGGAACCATTTCATACTCCGTATTTACAAATAGAAAATTACACTTAAGTCAATCTCACATTATAATTTAATTGTTTTAATAGTCGCACGTGTGAAATGTCAATTTTCAACAAAAATAAAATAAAAGCTATTGATAAGGATTGTAGCTTTGTAAGGGAAATCAATGAACATGATTCGGTTGGTTTCCTTCATTAAATTCTCAAGGAATGTTGGTAGTACAATATTACACGTTTATACAATTGTCAGCCGCAATATGTACAATCTTAATTTTATTTTATTTACTATTTCCGAGAGATTTTATCGTGAGGCGGTTAAAATACGATTAATAAAATATGTGAACGATTAAAAACGTTACTGGAAATATTATAAATTTTCACCGAAAACATTATTTGTGTTGATAATAGTAATGATGATAACCGAAAATATTATCGTTGTATGTAAAATAAGCCAAAAAATATTGATGTTAATAATTTAACTTAATTATTGAAAACATTATCAACCTTAAGAACATAACAGGTTGCGCCTAAAATATTATAAACGGTAAGAAAATAAGTTAATTACTTATTTTGTTATTAATATTATGAACATATTATGTTACACCTAAAATGTTACCAAAATTTAAGTTGATGAGGCCTTAGAAATCACACGATAAAAAAAATAAGTTAATTATTATTTTGTTATCAATATTATCAACATATTAGGTTGCACCTAAAATGTTACCAAAGTTTAAGCTGATGAGGCCTTAGAAATTTCACGACAACAAAATATGTTAAATACGTATTTTGTTATAAATAAAGATTAACATATTAGGTTACGCCTAATAATGTTATTGTGAATAAAGAAGTAGGTTGCGACGATCTGAAATGTTAAAGTTGTGTTTAATAAAATTGATAGTGATTTAATATGTAATTGTATCTCTGGAGGGAAATTGTTTTTAAATAAATATTGATACTACTATGATCTAATGGTCGATACTTTAGCAAATATCGATATTGTTTATATGATGTTTGATATTTTAGCATTTTAGAAATTTGATGCAATTTAAAATATCGAAACTTGTTCATTTGAAAAAAAATTGAAATGTTAAGATTGACAGTTACTTATTTGACAAGTTCGATTAAAATTTCTTTGTAAAAGTATCGATACTTACGAAAAATATCAATACTTCAGTTTCTCCTACTTCCTTATAAGTAATTGTTATTGTTTTAACTAAGGTAACTGATAAAAAAAGATATGAAACAAGATTAAAAGAATCGAAACTCTTATACTCAGTATTGATACTTAGTGTAGATGTATGTAAATTATTAATATCGATACTTAGTGTGTCGATATTTTAATTTCCATCAACTTTCTCAAATGTTAAAGTATCGAATATAATAGAAAAAAATTCAATATTTTACCATTCATCAAATGTTAAAGTATCGATCATCATATCATAATATTGATATTTTTTTTAAATATATACTTTGCACCCTTCTCATTTTCTAAGGGATTTTTTAATTCGAAAGTATTGATATTTGTGAAAAAATATTGAAACTTTGCAGCCTTTCTCATTTTTCATTTTTTTAAAATTCGAAAGTGTCGATATTTATACGAAAATATTGATATTTGTAGGAAAGTATTGATACTTTACAACCTTCTCATTTCCCATTTTTTTTAAATTTGAAATTATCTACACTTGTTGGAAAAATATTGATACTTACCGATCAAATAAGTTTGCCGGTTACCCATTGTAATATAATATATTAGGTATAAGCTAACATTTCCAGTTGTGCTAAATCGATTTGTTAAAGTTTTTTTTTTTAGATTTTCGATTGTGTAGAGGAAAAAGTCACGTGGAATTGATGTCAAATTAGGCGGCAGCCGTGGGGAATGTTACGGCGTGGAAGAGCAGTTTGACCTGAGTTTGAAGCTTCAACTTCTTAGACTTTCAAACCTTTATCAATAGTATTAGCCAAAAGATTAATTTAGTTTTGAACCTTTTCTTTTCGGTCAACTACCTCTGTTCTTCTTCTAGAGTTATAGCCTCCGCAGATTTTATGATATTCATGTTAAATTAAGAAAATGATTAAAAAAATTGCTTAAAACAAAATACGAATACATAAAATATTAAAGTTTTGGGTAAACTACATGTTTAGTATTTAAACTATTATTTTTGTTCTATTTTAGTACCCAAACTTTATTTTATTTCAAAATCATACCTAACATTTAGGCTTGTAAACGAACTGAAAACACGAACGAGGGTATATTCATGTTTGTTTCTTTAACTTTAGTCAAACAAGCGAACGAACACGAACAATTAAACAAACGAAATTTCTTATTCGTGTTCGTTTGTTAAGGAATGTAGCTGGCTTGTGTTCGTCCATGCTCGTTCGTTAAAGTGATAAACAAACACAAATGAGCACATGTAAACGAGCACAAACAAACGAACATAAAATTAATTGAGTTTGTATTTGAGAAAATATTTCCCCCAAATAACTTTAGGGTTTATATTTTTAATTGATTTGGATATTTTTATTTGGATTTAAAATTAATTGGATTTTAAAATATTAATGAGTTTAAGGTTTATTAGGTCCTAATAATTTTAAAAGGTTTGAAAATTGGTTTGAACATAAATGAACAAATATAAACGAAGGAACATTAATTAACGAACAGATTACCAAACATTTAGAACGTAAATAAACGAAAGAGTCATTTGTTTGTGTTCGTTCATTTAAGTAAACGAACATAAAATCTTGTTCATGTTTGTTCGTTTAATAAATAAACAAACATAAACGAATTTCCCACCGAATGGTTTGCTGAACATTCGGTTCATTTACAGACCTACTAACATTTAGTTTAGGTTTAATTTTGGTACTTTGGTGTGAAAAAATTAACATAACTGTTGATGTATTTTTTTTCAATGATGATGTGGCATTACCTTACTGTGACACATCATACTACCGTTAAGTTTTTAACGACAATATTCCAAAATGAAACATAAAGTAAATGTTAGATATACTTTTAAAACAAAATAAAGCTTAGATATCAAAACAAAACAAATATAATAATTTAGGTACTAAACATATAGTTTACCCTAAAGTTGTATCACATAAATCATTAAAATTAGTTGGCGCGACAATTAAGGGGTCAAATTACGAGTTCTTTCAAAGCCTATTACGGCGTTGATTAACCTTAAAATAATTAGGTTTTGGGACCCCTCTGCACAGCATCATCAAACAATCCCAACTCAGTTCGTTAGATAATATTATTTTAGTAAACATAATTTAATTTTGGGGATTTTTAATAAAAAGAACATTTTCTATTCCATTAACATAATAATTTTTTCATTAATTATGCTTGGAAAAATGATTTTAATATTGTGTTTGAAAAAAAATTCCCCAAATGATCTATCTCAACTTTTATTTCTCAGATTAGGGTAGTTGCTACAATAAATTTAGAAGACTCCAAGATTATTGTACATTTTCACTATCATCTATCTTTTTTTCCCCTACAAAACTGAAGATGTATGACAATTCATACGTCTTTCACCGAGAAAAATAAAAGCGCAGGACAATCTCAACATCTTCTTCTTAATACTATAGCAATAATCTTATTTCAATAAATAATATGATAAATGCCTGAAATATTTTTTATCACTCTCCTATGTGAGCGAGGGAGCCAACTACACTTAGAACTAAAGCAATGTTTTCAATGCATAATAAATCCTTTATGATCTGATTTATCGTTCTCCTGTTGGATTTATTAGCCAAATATATTTATGAAATTAATAATGTTTATCAAAATTAGCACTTAATTTCTATTTTAAATTGATATTTAAATTTTAAAAATCATTATTTTTAATAAATTTAAGATGAACATAAGATAGTATACTTTCAATAATTTGATAATGAACACTCATAATCCTAACATACATGATGCTTGAATCTAGGATCTCGAGGAATAACAATAAATCTCTTAATCACCGAGGTAGTTTAGTTTGTGAAAAAAACAATTCTTCATCTATGTTGAACATACTACCTTTTTTTATTAATTTTAAGTAATTACAAAACAATTTATGTTCAAAGATAATTATTAACCATTTTTTTGGATAATCCAATTTCATTAACCAAGAAAGCAGAAATCTGCTACAAGAGAACCAGATTCTTACATAAACATCAATATCTGCTAAGCTTTAAGCCCTCAGCTAAAACACAAAACAAAAATCCAGCAAATACAATAGGAGTACAAGGAACAATAAGCAAGGAATCCGCTCTACAGTTTCACGCGATGCTTCAGCTTATGCAGGGGGCAGCATTTCTCAGGTCCATTATGTTGATAGGCCAGCCACTCAACCTAATTCGAATAGCGTCTTTAATGTCCTCCAAGATTTCATTCATCAGTCTAGCTTTTCCCCCAAACAACCTACTATTCCTCTTTCTCCAAATGCCATACACATAACTCGACAAAGTGAGCTTTAACACTCTCGTGATGAGAGACTTACCCTTAAAACAGTGTGTGGCCCAAGCTAACTCACCATCCCAGTGGCATACACTGTGATTGACACCACAAAGTTGGAGAATGACCGTCCATAGACTTTTTGCGTATCCACACTAAAGGAATATGTGGCTCCTAGTCTCAGGCTCCAAGTTACAAATAAGCATTTGTCATTCTCAATGACTAATCCCATCCGCAAAAGCCTCACCCGGATAA